GGTTAGTGTTAAAGGACATAGATACATATGAGCCTTTCTAGCTTCATAAACCTATTCCTTGGCTTCCACACTTACAATGTATATTCTCTGAATCATCTTCTTGTCATAGAGCTGTTAGTCTTGTAGGAGAACGAGAGAGGAAACTTCTGAAGGACATTGTGAAGAAAGCAAATAATCCAGTTAAGAGTAGAATAGTACCTCAAGGTAAGCAGATCCAACTGGGTAACAAGTAATCTGTTGGTGTGTAGGGGCCGTCCAAAGTTTTCAACATTTTCATGGTCGTACAAAGTGTACGACGGGGGAGGCGGTCGTGGGCTGTATGTGACTTTTTGGATCCTGTAAAATGTTGATGTTTCAGAAGTATTCTCATTCCAATGTAAAATATGAAAATTCAAGAAAAAAGCAAGCATTTACGTAATCACCAGTTGCGCGCTGAAAGCTTGCTCCAAGGTTCGCATGCATCGTGCCCACAGCCACCCACGTCACTGTAGCACGGCCCGGTGGTTCAACCATGGAGTTCAACGCACAATGCATGTACGTGTAGTGAATGTACACGAACCCAGCCAATCAGGGCGATCACGTCTCTCAGCTCAGTACATACAGCGTGACACGCCAGCGGTACGGGCCATTTTCAAATACTCCACTCATGAGGCTTCAACTATTTTTCCTACATGACTTGGAACTGTAAGCGTATTAATCAGTTTGATAGTGCCACAAAATAAAAAATAAAATTCAAAAGAGTCAAGCATTATATTACTTTGATTATATTTCAACAATTTAGGCCCACAATTGCAAGGGGCTTGACCTCGGAGACGAAGCCTTAAACAGAGACAAAGTAGAGTATCGGAAAATGACCTTTGACATCGTGACACATCATTCCTACATGTGGTATTAACATTTAACAACATAATTTTATTGAGGTTTGATTTGATTGATTTATTGCCAAATATGATTGGAGTATAATTTTCGACCTGTAGTAACTTTACAGTAGTCTTCAACCATTTCAATGAAACTGGTCAATTGAATTTTTTTTAAGAACTCCATTTCCATATGCACATTTCTTTAAGTGAAACCATGCCATAGAAGTATAAAGACTGACATGTGCTTATCAAACATCTTTATATTTGGAAAAAAATTCACCCTGCAATTGATGATTAAACATAAATGAAAAAAAGTTGAATAATGTGTTTACATTTTTTTTCATATTTGACCTTTTAGTTTTAAATACATAAAGATTTTCAAAAATGCTTATATTTGCACGTATATGGTTATGGTTGTGGTACTTTCTAGCAATGTTGTGCCTACAGGACACCGTCAGCATTTCAAGATCTCGAAAAATGTTGATAAGTACTATTTTGGTTGAGGGGGCTCTTGAAAAAAGTACTCTGTACTGCTGTGAAAATGTTGAAAACTTTGGACAGCCCCTTACATAGTCGTATTTGTATGATTGAAATGAAAAGTTTGAAGTGATTTTCTGAGGCTAACAGATATTTTATGTAGTTTATAAAAGTGTTTGGCACATTTCAGCGGAAGAGAGTGTGAGTAGATAAATTATCTTATCTTCTTGAATGAAATCTATTACAGATGTTGTACAGAAGTACCGTGACAAGATTGCAAGCTTGGAGGAAGACATCGGGGAAGTGATGCGGTTGGAAGAAGAAGAGAAAGAGATGCGTATCACCGAGCTGCAAATGCACAAGGCTAACGCCATGCTAGAACATCAGAAAGAAATCTTCAGTCGTCCCAAGAGGACGTGGTTCCAGACACACAAAGAACGGGTGCAAGAAATAGGTCAGTGCTCACACTGGCTTGTTTGACTTCATGTCAGCTGAATTTAGACTTGGGAAAAGTGACCAGAAGAGGTTGGAAATTACAGAAATGTTGGAGAAGTTGTTTTTGGTTGAAAACATTTCTTTTACTGTTGTATCCATTGTAGTCATTTAAAATTGTTCACGTTTGCCCTTTTTTTTAGACAAGCTTAAACTAAATCCAGAAAAAATGGATAAAAAATCGAAGAAGAAGGCCAAGAAAGAGCAGGCGGAGCAGGTGGCTAGTGATCAAGTAAGTGAAAACTAAAGGCTCTCTTGTGATATTGGCTCTTTTCTCAAACTTACTCTGTCCATGATGACATACTCCTTCCCAAAAGTCAAAAGAATTTTCTGACTTGCCCCAAATATTTTTGGTCATATGATTATAAACTAAATTTGTGTTTGCTTGCCATCTAGAATGAGCGTCGCATCCAGCGAGAATTGGAGAAGGCCCAGCTTTTCTCCAAGAGAGAAGCCAAGAGGTCACACAAAGGTCATGTCATCCGAGGTTTAAGGAATCAAGAACAACCGTCAGGTATAATGCTAAATGATGATCAGCTTTTGATATGTATCCGTAGAGGATGATACATTGCTTGTCCACAAGAGCAGTAGGCAGGATCTTCCACGATCTGAGTTATCATGTGTCTTTCTTTTCAACAGTGTACACATGGCACAGTAAGCTCCATTTTTTTTTGACTGGTATGTGCTGAAAAGTGTGCCATATTTTCGTTTCTCTCAATTGCGGTTTTTAAGATGAAAATGTCCACGTGCAAGTGGGATGGAGGCTTATCTAAAGTGGATTTGATATTTTGATTGATGTCTGAAATGGGCATTATGGGGTTAATGTTTTGGCAGTGTTTGTTAATTTCCATTAGTGTGTGAGATTTGTGTCAAGGCCTCTGACTCGAGGCATCTGACAACTCCCAACTAGCTTGTGTCTGGAATATGTCCATATATTGTGGAATTTCTTGACAAATGTCCTGTTTCTGTTCACAGAAAACAAGAAGCCATTCGTTAGAAAAAAGAAAACAAATGGTGGCCAGTTCAAGTCGTCATTTGAGAAAGAGCTTACTCAAACAGGCAAACGCTCTGTCAAACAGTTCAGAAACAAGTTAGTATTTAATTCTATTACCAATAATTTTCAAACCAATTGTAAAATACAATTTAGAAGTTTCAAAGTAATGTTTATTAAGAGGGGTAAAATGGTTTATTATTCAAATGTTATGCTGGTCCATTTATTGAGTTTTTATTTGTGAATGATATTCAGACCTCTGGCAAAGAGGAAGAATGTTTGATTTTCAATCTGAAGATTGCTCACAGACTAATTACATTTCTAAGCATGTTTTCTCTTCATTTGACATAAAACGTACAACAAAATCACTAATCCTACAATTTTGCTTCTTTGTTACACCTCCTTGTAACAACTCCAAATTTCTTTGTAATTCTGGACTATTCTTCCTTTTTTTTCTGTTTGCAGAACTCATGAAGCCCGCAAGGAACAGAAAAGAACAGAGAAAGCTTCATTTAAGTCCAGTAAACAAAACAAGTCCAAGTTCAAACCGAGCAAGTTCAACAAGAGACGGAAGTGAGGAAACATTAGGGACATCAAAACAGTTGAAGGCACACAACTCTTTCTTTAATAAACATTTGATTTTGAATGGTTTTCAGATACTAGAAGGAATGACGAGATGTCTTGGCTTGCTCTTATTTTTGCTTGAAAAAATGGAGTCTTCAAATTGCTTAATTTTCAAAATCTGCCCCACAAAGAGAACAAAATTTCTTCAGACCTTTCAAATGAAATGCATTAAAGTTTTATCTACACTGCATACATAGGAGAAACAGGTTGAGGAAACAGGTTGAGGAAACAGGTTGAAGAAACAGGTTGAGGAAACAGGTTGAGGAAACAGGTTGGTGTAGCAGCGCTTTCCTCGCCTTCCACATCTGCGACCCGGGTTCGAATTCCACCTAGGTCAGCATGTGGATTTGGTTTCCAGACTGTAGGTTTTCCCTGGAATATTCATTCTGGGTTTTCCTCCCACCTCTAAAGCTGAACATTTCTTCATTGTCTTCTTAATTATCACTTTATCCTGTAATTGGTGCTAAATATTCTGTTGGATGAACGAAAATGAAAAACCGCTTTCTTCACAGACATCTTTTTAGACCAGCATTCAGCAATAAATTAACAAATTTTCCCCTTTTTCAACTGATAAAAGGGATTTGTTCGATCCAAACTATCAACCTTTCTTGGCATTTCTTGGCTTCCTCAATCATTTAATTCACATTAAGCTGTTGAGCTGTTTGGTCATCTGGCCAGGAAAAATTCCTTATGAAGAAAAACCAGACTGATATTTTTCAACCAAGGCGGTGAAAGTTCCACCACTGCCACCCCACTTTAGCCCAGCATAGACATGTTTTTCCATTTGAACAGTTCCTATCCAAAATTTGAAGGAGACAAAGAACGAAAGCAGTTTGAATTACATTTTGGAATGGACTTGTTAAAACAGTTCTTGCATTCAGGATGTTTAATAGTACATATACTTTGTATAATAAGCACCCTGACGTATTTTTAAATTCTATTTATAGAATTTTTGATGTATTTTTAAATTTTATTTATAGAATTTAAAAATACATCAGGGTGCTTATTATCTATAAATAGATTTTTCACTTCCCAAGAATCAAGCCAACAGTTCCGGGTCTTAAGAAATATAACAAAGGTATATCTTGATACCTTTCTTTTCATTTCTTGTTTTTATTTTAATGTGAAAATTTTCATTGTTTTATTCTGTATTAGTCCATTATTTCTCCATTATTATAGTGTTCTTCATCTGTTTCCCACACATTAAGAAATGTTTCTGAGCCATCTAGTGCCCCTCTATTCAATGTTCTAAGTCCAAATGCAAAAAGAAGCTTGAGCAAATCTGGGATTGTTTCCGAGATGTGGTGAATTGTGTTGGAAGAAACAATTTGGAAATAATAGGATGAATGGGTTCATCATTTGAAAGATGAGGATGTATGGTTTTATTTTGTGTTAAATGATAAGCCTTTTTGTGACAAGGCGGCACAAGTGTCAACATGGCTCCACATGAATTTGTAGTGAAATGTATTAAATCAAGGTCTACTCTTTATAAAGCAATGATGGCCGGCTGCTAACAAATACATAATTATAGATGTTAATAAGGTTGGTGTGCTAAGTCGATTGCCTCAGTATAAAATCCTATTCTGGAACTTTTGGCGATCTAGAACCTGCCTTAACGTTTTCCAAGGGCGATCTACATTAATTTGCAAGACGGCGAACGTCTACTCATAAGACGATGTGCTCAAACCGTGACTAGTGCTGCAAGTTTATCCTTCCGCTGGAGATATACTGGTTCCCACGCGCGTCAATGGTTTAACTGCAGTAATAGTAACAGCCGTTGAGTGCCAGCGACAACGTGTTCGCTGGGCTGTGGCTATTTTATGCTTATTAGTTTTGGGACTGCCATTGGTTCATTTTACTACTGATCATCTGGACAAACGCCATAAGAAATCTCCTTTTCTTCATAATTTGTACCCTTAAATTTATCTGATAATCCTCTCTAGGAGAGCTTTATTCTCAAACTGATGTTCGACTCTTAAGGAGACACAGGGTGGAGAATTCGCATATACATTCGTGTCCATTAGAACGGTAGGATATAAATTTTCTGCACACTGCGTCGTTCAGCATTAAAATGGCGGAGGCGATTTTCAACAGCCTGTCGGGTGAGCTATTAAATCTTTCTATTTCATCTCGTTGCCGAATAGATTTACCATGAATTACCACGAACCGCTAAAACTGATAATTTGTGGGTAGAGTGGTTGTATTTTGGCGTAAGGACAAGGGGTTTTTGACGCTCAACATGGTGACCGTTTCTCCAGGTTATTGCTACAATGGCGAGACTTCGTGAAACAGTCGCCATTGATATAGAAAAATAAACAGCCGCTTTATGTCGTCGTGCACGAAAGCAAAACCGAAGCATTCTTGCCGTGTTCTGTCGAGTCTGCAAAGGGAGTGCACTGCACGGGTCGTTGAGTTACTTTTCTTGGCGACTTAAAGTTTGGGCCTTTTGTTTACGACTGTTCGGTTCAACATAAACAGTTCAGTTCAATCATGGAGGTAGCCTACCTCCATGGTTCAATCGTGAAAATAGTTTCTTAACGAAAAAAAAAATTGGGTCAAAGCACTAGATCACAATTAACATTATGCGGTGAGGAGATTAAACTATACAGAGTTGTTATTTATTGGCCACAATTCTGATTTTACGGCCTGGTCCACCATGGAGGAATAAGAACATCCTCCATGGTTCTGCAAATTATTGGGGGGGGGGGTTGAAGTGATGTGGGGGTTCTCTGTGTTGAACTAGTTGCTTTATAGAACCCTGCATTGTTCATAAATTTTAAGTTTAATCTTTTTTAAACTGCTGTGCACTCACCGGTGTAGTCTGAAGTCGAAACTCTTCAAAATAGTACAGGCCTAGGACCTGGTAGTCAAGTGATTGATCCAACAAAACATTGTTAGCAAAATGTAGAAAATGAGTCAAGAAATTTCTTCAAATGTATATTAAACTTCTGGTTTCAGAACAGTTTGGATTTTGGAAAATATTTCAGTTACAAATGAAATTGCCAAAAGAGAGAACTTTCTGTCAGACTGTCCCAAGCTCACATTTAGACTTTCTAGTTTTCTAAATTATTGGACATTTATAAGAACAATTTTTTCTTATGAAGTTGCTTTATCAATATAATGACATGGCAAATATCCATGGATGTAAGGACTCTACAAAGTTTATGTTTTTTCAGCTTTTTGGGGGCACTGAACTTATTTCCAAACTTAAAACAATGTGTAGGTTGAGTTTGTTCTATATTTCAAAAAAACAATTCAATGGCTCAAATTTCAGTCAGTTATCTTGTTTCTTTCATATTCAACATGCTTAACATTAAAAGTGCATTGAGGTGCCTTACTTGAAAACAGGTACCCCGGTGCTGTGTTTAAAAGCTTCTCACTTGAAGTATCTGCCATAATGTCATATTCTCCATAGATCATTTTGCCAGATTTTCCAATATTTTGTGTCATTGATTGATCAGTCACAATAAAAAATGAATGTGTTTAATAAAGGTGATCTTAATTTTGTATTTGTGACATCTGTTTTTCGTATGGTAGTGATGGACACCAGTCAGCAGGGTACCTGTCTGATGGATGGACAGCCCCAACATGCTGTACAAACGACAGTCACAGGTACAAAGAACTCAGCAATTACCAATGAATCATTAACTGACCAATGACTCCTAGATCAGAACATGTCTTGTTCCAATGGGAGACTTTGAGACGCTTGGTGGCGATAAACATACCGGCCCTTTTTGCCAGTTCTGAGCATGTGCAGTACCTTGAATAAGGACCAGTATGTCTGCTGCCGTCAGTGTCTCAAAGTCACAAATCTCAGAGTGACAGGAAAAATACTGTCAAGAAAGATTTTGCCATACATTTTTAAATTCCTCTCATTTTGGTGTAATTCCAAGTTGACAGTAATGCAGAATCTATGCTGAGATTTGTGACAGTTTATGAATTATGAGTTTGATTTTGATGAACTTTTTTTTTCAATTTGTTCCAAACAGTTTGTGGGGAGGATGACCTCTTCCTGTGCGGCAAGTGTAAACGCCGCTTTGCTTCCATCAGTCAGTTCATGAATCACAAACAGACTCAGTGTATGCCTACCAGTATCCATGTCTCGCACAGCCATCCCATGATGCAACAGCATAACCGAGGACACACCTACACCAATATGGGCCACTCCCCCCACATGCAGGTGTCGTCAGAGGTTGTTCTTGGGGACCAGGGTTTACCTGTGGCCAATTACACCAATATGGATCAATATCAAAACACAGTGCTGCAAAGACCAGCAATGACTATGCCTGCGGGACCTTTCATAGCACCCCATACACAAATGGGTATACACGTAGGTAAGTTAATACTAACCTCTCAAATTTTGAGAACTTGTCAGTTCGTTGAAACCAGGGTTAATTCAGTTGAAGAGTTTATGTTGGTGATGAAGATTTACTCTGATTGCTTGCTGTGTGCTTTTTGAATTTCTGTTCACTTACAGCCACCAGCAATCAGCAAACATACACCCATTCTAATAGCAGTACTCACCTTGGAGGTACTCCTATCTCATTGCATCAACATCAGCAACAACAACAGCAACAACAACAGCAACAACAACAGCAACAACAACAACAGCAACAGCAGCAGCATCAGCAGCAACAACATCAACAACAGCAGCAACAACAACAGTCACTGCAGCAACAACAGAGCCAACAGCAACAACATGCAGTCATCTTGCACACCCCACATGATACCCTTCCTAGTACCTTCACCATCATTTCCACCCCTGCACAACAACCCCCTAAAGACGTTCCTTCGACCAAGCCAGCCCCCAAGCCTAAGAAACCTAGGCAGCCACGGAAGCCCAAAGTTGCCCCAAGCTCACCTAAACCCCGCCGTAAGAGACAGGCATACGTCTCTCCATCAGGAGAGCGACTGCCTCGACCACCTTCCAAGAAGTCTCACTCATGTGAGTACTGTGGCAAGACGTTTCCTTGGAACCATGAGCTTCAACGACATCTGAGGTATCATACTAGAGAGAAGCCGTTTGAATGTCCCAAGTGCCACCGGATGTTTGCTGAGAGGTGCACTGTCAGAAAACACATGATGACCCACAAGGATTTGCCAGAGGACATGGATCGAAGCTTGCCCAAGCACCATGTAAGCAAACTATTCATTGTTAACCTCTCAACCTTCACCTTTAACCCTGCTGCAATCTTTGTGTCTTCAATCACCTACCTTACTAAATTGTCTTATTTATTGCCCCCCTTTGCAGCCTTGTCCCGAGTGCAACAAAATGTTTGTAGGTTCCTTTGACCTGCAGCAGCACATGAGAAGCCACACTGGTGAGAAGCCCTTCCAGTGTGAGATCTGCCATAAAGCTTTCTCTCAGAAGTCCAACATGAAGACACACATGATGCGCAATAAGAAGTGCTCTACAGCCCGGGCTGCTTTGCTGGAAATGGTCAGTTTGAAAATTCTCTTTCCTCGTCTGTTTCTTTGTTCAATGGCTAATTTAGTGTGCACTCTGATATTCAGCAGATGTTCACTGAGGAATTCATGTGGCATGTAGGTTTGAGTGTGCTGCTTGTGTTGTTCTTGAAACTAAAGTGAGGGTTTAACTGAGGGCCTTCATCAGACCTAGGCTTGGTCTTAAATTTTGGGTTTACCTGATTCTTAGGTCACTGACGTCAGAGATTCCAGCTCAGTATGAGTCCATACTTCCTTATGAGAACACTGAATCATATGATTTTTAAGTCAAAAGATAGAGGTCTTTATTCAGTCAACAAGTGGTTTTGAAATGAGTGGATTTGGCTTAGACTTTGGTTTCATTGGTTCCTACCATTATAAAGCAGTGTTGGAAACCACATGTTCAAGCTCTGACTGGAACCAGCGAAAGCAAAGTCAAAGCTGAATTTATTCTTTTGGAATATGCCTTTTGGTCTCTGCTCACATGCCTTTCAGTAGTAAGTGTGTTCCTATGGAGGGTTTGCATGCTTTTGTTTCATGGGGTAGGGACAAAGGAGGTTTCCCCGTGAAACATAAGAACTGCTCTGCAAGATGGCTACCACGCAAAAGTGTCTGTTCATTGGTTTAATCAATCTAACAAGTAGTTTAATGTTAAGATGTAATACAGCCTATGGTTTGGCATACTCATGGCTATAAACCTGTCAAGCTTACTGGTTGAATTGACTCATTAGCTACTGTGGCTGAATGGACTTTGGTAACAGTGTCGTTATTTCGTGTGAATTGGACTTTTTCAGAAGGCGCAGGAAGCAGAGAACAAAGGAGAAGAAGGCACCGAAGGTAATGACAATGAAAGGGAGAGGTCAGATGATGCTCACAGTCCCCCTACCATTAAAGGAACCAGAAAATAGAAATATTTGTATAAATTTTACTAAAAACTCTTGAAATGGCATCTTTGGGTTTCAATTAACCTCATTTAAATTTTTGTTTTGCAATTTTAACCCATATTTTGATGCTTTTTTGGTTTTATGCAAATGAAATTTGCATATTCATGAACAGAACTATGATGTCATCCAAGGCACCAAATTTCAATGTTGCATCGATTTGTGCATAGAAAATTTCTAGATTTTTTTAACCACTGCTATGGCAGATTTCATTTTCTTTGGCAATTTATTTCTGTGTAAGTATATGGCAATAATCCAGCAAAAATCCTTTTCACAGAAATGTTCCCAGATAGGAAATTTGGGGTTCACAATTTGAATATGAAAACATGCAACCTGAACCATGTCTTCCTGGATTTACATCAAAGCAAAAGCGCCCTCACTTGTCCAGAAATGCTTGGTCAATTTTTAATGTTTAAAAAAGTGCACCGTTCAGTTCACGTAACTCAAAAAAGATTTCAAACAGTCTTCATACATGGAAGATGAGTACATAAATACACTAAATGTAATTGTAAGAAAAATTCATTTCCTGGATCCTTTAACGTTGGCAGTTACTAAACAGTTTGCAATCAGTCAAACTCCGAGCATTGCGTTTATCAACACCAAAAAGTGAACTTGTATTTGGAGGGAATCGGGAATAAGACAAACTGTAAAATTCAATTCATGGTTGCTTTGAGACAGAGCTCCTTAACATTAACAATCCTCAACTCCTACATGTGGGATATGGCTGGGGTTAAGGAACTAACGTCGGTTTCATTTTGAAGGTATTCAGTCAGTTAAAAGATTGAATAAAAGTACATTAGTTTTTGCTCTGTACAATAATTATAGGTCAACAACCGTTCTACTTCTCCCCCCCAGATAAAGGTGACCAAGGAACTGAGACTTCACCCACAAAACTGCAAGAAGCAGAAGAACAAAAGTAAGTCCATTTCAACAGAATCTAGAGGATTCCATGTTGAGAAGGTTTTGATTCATTGAAAACATTCCAATACTTGTATTTGCAATTGTAATTCTCTGCTGAGGCATTGGTGTTCACAAGTTGATATCTTTACATCACCAACAGGGAGTTTATCTGTCAGAGATGTAAAGAGGAATTCACTAGTCTTGAGGAACTGGGCCAACACCTGACTAGCACCAGGCATCACCACAACTGCCCATTCTGTAAGAATGCTTTCCCTTGTCAGCACTTCCTGCGTCGTAACCTGTCCTCTAAGAAGTCCAGCAAGGACGGCATGCATCAGTGCAAACGTTGCCAGAAAGTGTTCAGTACACCTGCCATCTTTAAGGCTCACATGGCTACCCATCATGCCCCTGCCACCAACACCCGACCCCACAAGTGTGACCAGTGTGACAAGTCCTTCCGTCGGCAAGAAAAGCTTGAGAAGCACCAAGCAATGATGCATGGGCCCAAGAAGAAGCTCAAGTGTCCGTTTCGCAATGTCTCCGATTGCAAGAAGGAGTTCAAGAATTTTGCCTCCCTGCGCATCCACATGGTGTCTCATAGTGGCGTCAAGCCGTTCAAGTGTCCGCAGTGCTCCAAGGCATTCACTCGCAGGCCCAACCTGAATGAGCACATGTTGACCCACTCAAATGACTACCCAATCCGCTGCAGTAGATGCAACAAGGGCTTTGCTTATGCAAGGTATCTGAAATTCCACCGCTGTCCAATGTGGGCGCAGTGCAAAGAGGCGGTAGCCAGGAACAAGCTTGAAGTGGCCAAGACTACGATGGATGGGGAAGCGGAAGAAACAACAGAAGCCACAACGGACTCCATCAAGAAGATCAGTAATCGGTCAACAGCAGAGATTGAGAGGGATCTTGAAGCAATAACATCAGAGTTACAGAATCAGCAGACACATGCCGTGGTCAATGTTGAGGAAGTCACTAGTGACCAGATTGCCACGGCTAATGCAACGGCCATCGCACTCCTTGACATTGGGCAAATGGTCGAACAAAGCCAGAGCCATGAACAAATAAACATTTCACAATAAAAAAGTCATACATTGGTAGAATAGTCCTGAGTACTTACCCTTCTTCCGTCAGCAGTTTAGAAAATAACAAAAACATCAAACCAAAATGTCACCTCGTAAATATTAATGTCACCTTCCATTAGTCTCGTCATTTCAAAAAGAAAAAAAAACCAGACTAGATGTCAAATCGTGAATTTGAATGCCACCTTCCATTTCCTCTGTTATTGTTCCGACCTCTGTGATTGATCATGGGTGAAATGCAGCGATACAAACCAATTGCTTTTGTGGGTGTGTATTACTTGTAAAGCGTGGCTAGATATAAAGTGTAGAGATGTCAGTTTGGTTTGTAAATTCTGTGATTTTGTGCATTCTTGGAGATTTTCAACTGTGTACATGTTATCTTCCTATAGCTAACCTTTGGTAGTTCGTGTTCACCCTTAAAATCTTAAAACAAATGTAGAGTTTGGTGAAGGGAAGTGGTGTGGGTACAGTTTCTATCCATGTACAGTATAAATATTCACCAATTGTAAATATCTGAGTTGAAATTGGTATGTGCCCAATCTTGAGTATGCCTGCTCTCCTTCATGCATTGTTGTGGCTTGATTAAAAGGTTTGTACGGTTGTGTAATGAGTCAATAAGTGGATGTTTTCTGTGACAGTGGATTTGTCCAGTCTGGCAATCTGCGGATTCTTGAGGAAATAAACAAAATTAACTGAACCTCTTTGGCATATTCAACTGTTACCTTTTTATATTGAGTTTTCGTGCCTGATTCCTATGTTGCTAATATACATTTAATTTATCTGGTGAAAAGCCTCTTTTTATGATGCCTACACTGACTGGAATTTTTGACCCGAAAAATTAAAGCCCTTATCTTTCCAATTTCATGAGAGGAATGATGACAGTTGTTTCCAAGATAAAGCACCCGATGGACATTCATGTTATGTAACATAAAGGGGTTGCCCTCTATGTTACAAAACATGAATGTCCATCCCTTGCAGACATTAATGCTTGTTTAGAATTAAAATTTTCTAAGGAAATAAGTCACAAGATTAACCCCTTGCAGATTTCATTATTCAGAATAATTAAAATTTTCAAACAAATAATGAAAATTCAAGGCTAACCTCTTATATATTTCAATTTTTAAGCAAACTTTGGTAAAATAAAAGAAAAATGCAAGGCTAACCCCTTGATGATCGTAAGTTTTCGCAAACCAAGAATTTTTATAAAGTAATTAAAAGGCAAGGCTAACCCCTGTATAGATTTCAATATTTCAGCAAACTAAAACTTTTAGTACAATTTATAAATGTGCAAGGCTAACCCCTTGCAGATTCAATTCTTCAGAAAAAGGGAAATTTTCAAGAAAATGAAAATTCAAGGGTAACCTCTTATAGACTTCTTAAAGAAGTTTAATAAAGAAAATGCAAGGCTAACCTCTTGATGATCGTAAGTTTTCGCAAACAAAGAATTTTCATAAATTAATTAAAAGGCAAGGCTAACCCCTTCTAAATTTCAATTTTGAGCAGAATTGAAATTTTCTGAAGGAAAAATAAAAATGCAAGGCTAACCCCTACGTAGATTTCAATTTATCAGCAAACTAAAATTTTTAGTAAAATTCATAAATGTGCAAGGCTAACCCCTTGCAGATTTAATTCTTCATAAATTAATTAAAACGCAAGGCTAACCCCTGTGTAGATTTCAATTTATCAGCATACTAAAATTTTTAGTAAAATTCATAAATGTGCAAGGCTAACCCCTTGCAGATTTAATTCTTCAGAAAAAGTGAAAATTTCAAGAAAATAATGAAAATTCCAGGCTAACCTCTTACAGATTTCAATTTTTTTAAAACCAAGAAGTTTAATAAAGAAAATGCAGGGCTGACCCCTTGATGACCATCAGTTTTCGCAAACCAGGAATTTTCATAAATTAATTAAAAGGCAAGGCTCACCCCTTCTAGATTTCAATTTTGAGCAGAATTGAAATTTTCTGAGGAAAAATAAAAACGCAAGGCTAACCCCTACGTAGATTTCAATTTATCAGCAAACTAAAACTTTTAGTAAAATTCATAAATGTGCAAGGCTAACCCTTTGCAGATTTAATTCTTCAAAAAAAGTGAAATTTTTAGAAAATGAAAATTCAAGGCTAACCTCTTGATGATCGTAAGTTTTGCCAACCAAGAATTTTCATAAATTAATTAAAAGGCAAGGCTAACCCCTTCTAGATATCAATTTTGAGCAGAATTGAAATTTTCCGAGGAAAAAATAAAAACGCAAGGCTAACCCCTGTGTAGATTTTAGTATTTCAGGAAACTAAAACTTTTAGTACAATTTTTATATGTGCAAGGTTAACCCCTTGTGGATTTAATTCTTCAGAAAAAGTGAAATTTTCAAGGAAATAATGAAAATTCAATGCTAACCTCTGAAACATTTCAATTTTTCAGCAAACCAAGAATTTTGGTAAAATAATAGAAAAATGCAAGGCTAACCCCTTGGAAATTTGAAGCTTTTGCCAACCAAGAGTTTTCATAAATTAATTAATAGGCAAGGCTAACCCCGTCTCGATATCAATTTTTGAGCAGAATTAAAAAATTCTAAGGAAATAATGAAACCACAAGGCTAACCCCTTGCAGATTTTCTACTTTTCACCAAAAGAAAAAGTAATCAAAATGCAAATTTTGGCAATAATGAAAAGATTTTCTAAATACACATGCAAAGTGAAGCCCCTTACAGATTTTTTCTACAAATCAAGAATATTTGTGAAATAAAAGAAAAATGCAAGGCTAACTGCTTGCTAATTTTAATATTTCTGCAAACCAAGAATGTTTAAACATAGTGAAAAAGCATAGCTAAACACTTGGAGAGTTTAATTTTGCATGAAAAATTCTCAAAAAAACTAATACAAATGCAAGGCTAACCTTGCAGATTTTTTTTTTGGAACCCAAGAATTTTGAAAAGTTATTTCAAAATGGATAGCTAAACACTTGAATTTTATTTTTTCAACAAACCAAGAATTTTCGGTAAAATTCATTAAAATGAGAGGGTAACCCCCGCCAGTTTTTAATTTTCCAGAAAACTTTGAAATAAAAAAAAAAGAATGAAAATGCAAGGCTAACCCCTTGCTGAAATGATAAGTTTCCAAAAATATGTAAAATGCAAGGCTAATTCATCCATGGAGATTTTAATTATCCTACAAACCAAGATTTTTGTAATCTTGATGGAAATGCAAGGGAATTTACTTTTTCCGCAAATCCAGAATTTGGTAAAATCAATAAAATACCAGACAAACTTTCAATGTTTCAGGAAAAACAAATTTCTCAAGAGCAATTAAAATGCAAGACTAACCCCTGTCAGATTTAAATTTTTTCATCCAAAATGAAAAAAGTCCCCAAAATTGAAAAGTTTGTGGTTTAAATATTGCTGGTAGTTAAGTAGCTGTCAAAAAAAATTGAAAGACAAGTGATGCATTAACCACTCGGAAAACTCCCAGAATTCTACCCTTTTTTACCGGCCAATCCACCGAATTCAGTGCCCCAGCATATAAGTGCAATACAGATACAAAGGAATTCCCTGATAAACTGACATAAATATAAAACACCTTCAGAGTGACATGAGAAGACTTGTTTTCAAAATACATGTATCACTTTTATTGCTTATTGACACAAGGCTTGATACACCTGCATAGATAATTAATAGAAATTTATCATGAAAGTTTTCTAAGGCAACAGCGGTGCAGAAAGGTTGTCATATATTCTCATGATAAATCCAATTCAAGATATACATGTACCCTAATTCTGAGGACAGGAATATACAGGTTGATCACGCCAGTCAACAAATTGTAACAAGAATCCAGGAGAAATGTTGGAAAAGTGTATTACTTCATAAATGGAATTGCATGTAAAGGCTGGGAATATTACAAAAGTAAAAATCTGGAATGACATCGGAAGATTTCTTTTTCAGAATACCAGGACAGCCATGCAAACGACAAAGTTTTGGCAACCTTAGATGTACATGTACATTTCTGGCAATAACATTGGAATTATTCATAATTCTGTGCTGCTTGGCCAATGGTGGAAAGTCCAAGGAAGCATAAGAAGACTGCCTTTCCTATATCAAAGCTATGTAATTGGCCCAACAAGTAAACTCACTAAAACCTGTCTGGACTTGTGTATTGGTCACACAAACAGTGCAAAACATAGTACAGCATTCACAAATCATGGAATGCAGTTCGTGACATACAGCCCATCATTTTTCCAACCTGTTCTCACCTTGACTGAATCAAAACTCTATACCCTTTAATGCAAGGTGCGTTTTTACTCAGTGCAATGTTCATCAACATGTTCAGACATAACTCCAATCGTCTCAGTAAGTTCACAGCATGCATGGCAATGAAAATGGATCTCAGAAAAAATTACCTGTCAAAATATACTTTAAAAGATAATCAAATGAAAAATTACTGTGCCTTCGAATTGTTCATACAAATGTGACAGACAGTTTCTTTTAACAAATTACTGGAAGATCTGATTAATGTTTAACACAAGGACACCTGATGTAAAGCAAAAATTTCCATAAACCACCTATACATATTTACATCAATTTTTCTATACTGAGCATGAATTAACTGTTCCCTCCAAAAGAAGCAAAAATCCTTGAATCTGGGCATTACAAAGAATCAATTTATCAAAAATACAATCTTAGGAAGAAACAAATGAACAAGTTCATTCCTAAATTGGAGATGTTGTGGAATTCGTTTCTCTTTCTTGGAATGTAAATAAAGACAAGATTCACAAATCGAAGTACCCTATAAACAAGGATACCATACAAGCTTTACACAAGCAGAAATCTTTAACTTTCAATCTCCAAAAGATAGCTCCAAAATGCTTGTTAACTTATGACTATCATTCAATTTTAAGAGAAAGCTTCTTGTAATACTTTGATCCCAAGGATTTTTTTTCAATTGTTAATTTTTTTCTCTCCACACAACACCTACATGTACCACAGAAAATTCAAAATACTAATATCATAACAATATTGCAATAGATCTTACCACTCTCACTGATTTGAAATCAAGGTGTAGATTTTTCTTATTCAAATCCCATTTGCCCAAGAAAAGGGGAAATAATTACTGTACGCTTGGATGAAAATAAATGGAACTTGTGGCAGACAGGCCTCATTGGAATCTCACAAAGAAGCCTACTTTGTTATCTGAAGAACAGACAAGCTTATTATTCCTGATCAACCCATCTGGTATTCGGTATCAATATTATTTAGTTTAAAAACAAAAATCTAACTGTCCTCATTGCTTTGCCAAAATAAAAGCCCTTGTCAAGTACACAAACATAATTGTTACATTCACAAATGTACATACCACGCATTATGTGACTTCTGTTAAGATTATAAATGCACTCAACTTTCCAATTTTAACCACTGTTTTTTTTTAACAGAGGCATTCCGTAACAAAAACCCCAAGTGACTATGATATCACATCTGATGTCTTCACAATTATGAAAAAATATATACTTTTGCTCTATTTTGAAACTTCTGCAAAGTTATAAAATGACTATTATTTTACTTGAAGGCTTATTTCATTTGGCATCAGATGCATCTGAAACCAACATCCCTGAACTGTAACAAGATGTCAGTTTTCAGCACTATCAGTAACACAAAGCAAAGATGGAAGACAAGTTTCCATGGAAACATGCAATGGTGCTTGCATCACTTGCTACAGATTTTATGATAGCATGATACTTTTCCCTTTGCATAAAGCAAGCCTTAATGTTCCAGCATTTACATCTATACATATTTTATTAAACATATGTTGCGATATTAAATCAACGACACTGTCCTCTACCAAGCCACCTGGGTATGTTTCAAAATTTGACATTTTTGGTTTGAAATGGCAAAACTGTATCTAATCTTAAAACTTCACTTGACACTTCATATACTACCGAGTAATTTCTCTGCAAACCTGTGCAAATTCACAATAAATCAAACTTATTCCCAGGGTAAAAAAATCAATTAACAACAACACTCCTTCAAATACACAAATCCTATTGCCATCCAATAGTTTACTCAGATTATCCAGACAATGACAGCAGCGGAATTGCACAGAGTGAGAAATGCATTTTGTGTATGAAGGAAGGCAGAATTATTGATTGGTGTCATGCTGAATATGGTTAGGGTATGATTAACAGGACAACAGTGCTATATAAGCAGACACTTGCTGTTACAGTACCACCTGTAGGTGTGGTATGGTCTAAACAGTGTCATGGACGGCTAATTACTAAAACTAATGTGTCTGGGACATTATCCGACACATGTAAGACTAAATAGCCATCTATGCTAGTCTCATTTCAAGCCATATTAAACAATGGTTATTAATGAAAACCTCCCATGGGATATTCCTTACATAAGGCATTTGAGTTCAATTTAAACAAAATGACAAGTTACAATAGAATCTTAAGGAAAATCAGCACATGTGATTGACTTTTCTTCTTTCCCTTGATTCCCATTTGGTCCATGAGCATAACATGGTACCAAACAGCCACTCTACCATGATACTGTAGGTCTTTCTCTCATATTCAAGCCTGTGATGTCTTGGTGATTTCAGAAAGCTTGCTACAAGTCTGACAAATTACTGCAAAGCCCGGTATGAACTCCATGGAGCTGAAGATGGCTTTTGCATGTACTGATCTGTACATGTAAGTGTCAATTAAATTAAACACAATGTACGGTGTCCGCAGCAACTCAAAGGAAAACATGTTTTCTCTGATTTTATCTGTTCAAATACCAAGAAAAAAAGCCCTTTTTAGCTTGTTATGGTTGAGCTCTGAAGACAAATGACACAGCGTTCGATTTGGATGCTTCCATATTTATGAATTGCTCTTTAACTCTGTGGTCCACAGATTTTTTTACCTTGAGGAAGGGTCGGTTGGTTGTGGAAAATAAAAGGATACCAAAAAAAAACAAAAGATCACTTGCTTGTCCCCAGGAAATTCTTAAGATTATCTTTTTTTTCCTCAGTAGGAAATTCCATGCAGGATTTGTGGCATGTAAAAAATTTTTTCCTCAGTTGGACACCAGACAGGGTCTGCAGTATAAAAAAGTGTTTGTTTTTCCTTGGTCTGTGCCACTAATAAGGGTCAGTCGGAAATGAGAACTATAGAATTAATTATGGACGCCCTTATTTTCATTTCAATGTGCACACCCTCAAAGCATACATGCAGATTTATAACTGAGAGAATAGCACCTGAGTGTGGCCAAGTGCTACAGTAATCACCTGAGTATCTTTCAACAAAATATGCTTTGCATCACCACCAATAAGGGCCTACAAATATGAAGACAAACAGAGAGACCAAAGAGGAATGTCAAGTTGTTAGGTTAGGACTGGAAGACTTGTAAAAACCATTCAAGAAAGATGGATTCATCCCACGACAGATATGCTACTTATAGTTATCATATACATGTACATGTAAACTTCAATTTGGTAAGCTAGACTACACTATATACAAGAAAAATAGCACCACTTATTGGTATGCACAAATAGCATGCAAAGATGCACCACCCAAAAAATAGTAAGTTTGATCAATAAAATCTGATCACTTCAAATGTCGGAAGAAAATGTATTATCACATTGATACAAGTGGATTACTGTTTGTTCAGGAAGAATGAAATTAACAAGGCACCAATGAGCATTAATACAAGTATCTACATTTTTAACATGAATAGATATTTTCTGAAATCATTTTTTGCATAATTTCTGATAACTCTATGCCTGTGCATGTATCTGCATCACCTCCAGACAAGTTGTTTAATTTGCAATTCATTCTTGGCAAAAGACTGTGTTCAAGAACACATATTCTGAAGATATGCAGTTTGACAAGAAGATTTGGATTTGAAAATGATGGAAGATGTTTTGTTTGCATGTTTCCCACAAGAAACATAAATTTCAGCATGTTTGGTAGTAATATGTCAAGTCCTATCTAGCCCCATTTTTGTTGGAGCAACAAGTTTGTATTTGTTTATCGAAAGCCAGCAAATGTGACATATTTAAACTACTGTTTTGTTGGGTAGATCTGAGTTTATTTCACACCCAGAAGCTTAGCAGCAGAATCTGCAGAATCCAACATCTGATCCAGAACTGAGGAATCTTGTATCCCTAACAGATTCTGAATCATGTCTGAGTTGTCAGTTTGTCCTGACACAAAGACATCTCGCCCACGGCCAGTGGGGCTGATTATGGAGCAGTCTCGTTGATCAGCGGCAGGGTAGAGGTCATCTGAGGGTGCAATACCAGAATCCTGATCCCACGTTGCTTCAAGTACCGCATCCGCAATGCCACTATTGCTCTCCTCTGGGTCAGAGTTTAAAATGCTGTCATCTAAGTCCACGTCTTGGCCTTCTGTGAAGTCGTCACCATCCAGGTCTAAATCTTCTCCTCCTAGTTCATCCACATTCTCGTCATCTCCATTCTTCTCAAATTCATCTTCCATTTCTACTACATTCTCTCCAACAGTCTTCCTTTCTGCTCTTGTGACTGCAGAACTTGCATCAGAGGAACTGACATTTGGAACAGATTTAGTATGCGGAGTGCTGAGACGATGCGACTGTGAACAGGTATCTGCAGCAGCTTCCTGGTTCTCCTTGGCCACTTTCTGAGTCTGGGATGGAACACTGGAAGTTGTCTCAGCTCGTTGCTTCTCAATGAGAGTCACTGTCTCCTCTTTGCTCTTGCCGTGAAGTTTAAGCATGTGGCGCTGACAGTTGAACTTGGTGGTAAAACTGGCAGAACATTCGGCGCATCTGAATGGGTGCTCCAAGGTGTGGACACGGTAATGACGCTTCAGAGTGGTGGCGCTCTTGAATCGTTTGCAGCACTGGCTACAACAATGGCGTGCATGCTTACGCTTGGACTTGCTTCTGATGGTAGGCTGTTTGATTGTCTCAACACTAATGTCTTCTGGATCTTCAGTGACACGGTCAATTTCATCAACTGCCAAGAGGTCGACAGCAGCTTTGCTACTGGATTCCTCATCTTCAGCTGAGTCACGACCATTAACCACTGACGAAGGGTGCTTTTTCTTCTTTTTCTTGAAAATAATAGGGAATGGTTTCCCCTTGAGGGATACATGATTTTTCTTGACATGGAGTTGAGATTTACCATTACTGCCATCACAGACAGAGGTAGAATTCTTCTTGACAAGGGCAAGTGGCTTGTCATCAATCGAAGAGTGCCTCCTCTTCAGAAATTGCTTGTGACCACTAAGTTTCAGGGAGGTGCCTGTCATACCAACTTTGGTCTTGAATTCAGAGCTCCCAAAAGAACGGGATAAGCTGAGCTTGTTTGCTCGTTTGGCAAGTGCACTTCTGATGATGGAAGCTGGCAGCTTCTTCACCTCATTCTTGTAGCATTCAGGGAAAGGTACACCAATATGTTTGATCTCGTAATGCTTCATTAGTTTGAGTTTTGTGGAGTAGGCGGTATCTACACATCCCTCTAGACAACTGAAAGGGTTTTCTGGAACTTTGGATCCAGGACTGACATTGAGACAGTGCCGTCGCACAATGTGGCGCTCACAGTTGGACTTTGTAGAGAAGCTGCTGTTACACTGAGGACATTGGAATGGCTTGAGGCCCGTGTGTGTCAGGATGTGACGACGCAAGGAGCTGATCCATGGAAACTTACGATTGCAGTATGGACACATCTCCTTGGAAGGAAGATTGGATCTATCTCGCTCTGGGGCCCGTTCCTTTGTCTTGCTTGGTTCTTGTCCACCAGCTACCTCAGAGGAGGATGCCAGAGACTCATCAATGATCAAGTCATACTCCTCCGCCAAGTCAATATCTTGCATTTCTGACTGCCATTCTTCTGTATCAGCAGCATCAGTAGGATTCTCTGGTTCAGGGAACTCGTCTTTGATAGACAGCTTGTCATCTTTGGCATATACCTCACTTTCGGACTCTTCCCCTTGCTTTGCCTGTCCTGCTGTTTGGGGAAAGCAAACTTGGAAGTTATTACTGCTGGCAGCAAGAATTTTGGAAACACTCGCCAGTTCTCCGCTTGCATCTGAACCAAAGCTACTGTCGGGGGATTGGAGTTGTGATGTCTGCTCATCCATAGCTGGCTGGTCAGCTGGGTCATCACTGATGTCACTGTCGTCCAGGGAGATTCGAACCCTCAGGCCTTGGCTGGAACGTGACATAAGTTTAAACTGCATTGGAGTGGCAATTTTGGGAATAAAGGACTGAGCTGGAGATTCACTTTTGGCCTCATCACCATGACGACGCTCAATGTGCTTGTCTAGACTATCCTTCATGGTAAATGCAGCCTTGCAGTAGTAGCAGCGATGGGGGCGCTCTGTGGTGTGGGCCCTGATGTGCTCCTTGAAGACAGAGCCGCGTTTGAAGGCCTGACTACAATGAGGACACACCAAGGCATCTAAGGTTTTGCTGTAAAACTTGTGGTAAACTCTTTTAAATCGCAGTCGGCCAAGGCTACTGTCTACTGGTGGCAGAAAGGAAGTCTTATCTTTGGGCAGACTCAGATCGATTGGAGCATCCAGGTCTATCAGATTGGGCAAGGTATAGGCACTAAGCCAAGATTGGTCACTCAGGTCACAATCAGACAACATCATTGAGGACTTCTTGCTGAAATCAATAGGCGACAGCTGTTCTCCGTTGCTGGCAAAGGAATTGGCCATTGTCTGGGTTATGTCCATCACTTCAGGCTGTTTGACCATCATGTAATTATCGACGTCCTCTTTGGTGATGTCCGGGTGGCATTTAATGATATGGCGCGCACAGTTATTCTTAGAGCTGAAGCCTGTTTGGCATTTGAGGCAAAAGAAAGGTTTGCTGGGTGTTCGCTGGTGGACCTTCAGGTGATTCTGCAGATCTCGGAAGAACCTGAATTCGCGGTTGCACAGCTTGCAAAAGGTGTCTGGTGCTCGGAACTTACTGGTGGAGGCCTCACCTACTGTACTGCCGGCGGAGTTGTGGATGATGCTCATTTCTATATCCAACTTGGATTCTTTGCCGTGCCGCTTCTTGATGTGACGCTCGCAGTTTGCCTTAGTGGTGAAAGGAAAATCACATATTTTGCAGGAGTAGGGTCGTTCACCACTGTGGGTCCTCATATGCCTGACCAAGGTGCTCTTATCAGCACTTGAGTAGTCGCACAAGAGGCACTTGAATGGTGTTAGTCCCATGTGAGTACGGAGATGTATCTTCAAGGCGCTGTACTGCAAGAAGCTTTCCTGACAGTACTTACACACGTATTTGCCAACCTTCTTGTTGCTCTTACCATCTTCAGAGGCTTCTTTGGTTTTCTCCAGCTCGGTTGGCTCAGACTCTATTGTGTTTTCAGATGTTGATTCCTCACTTGTGGTAGTTGCCTGCTCCATCTTACATTCATCCCTTGCTACCTCTGTTGGGAAGTGCATCTCTGTGGCGGTATCAGCTGATCGTGGTTCATGATCAGCCTGTCGGATGAGGGATTTATTCTGCCCAGGAAAGTGTGAGTGAGCAGGTGGAGGTCTACTGGCTGTAAAGATGCCAGCCTTGGTCTTAGATTTGGAAGCTGGTGTGGTAAAAGCGGAAGACAGTGTGGAGGCTTTTACTGGAGATTGCTTGGCCCCTCTGCTCAGATGCTTCAGCATCAACAGTGGGTTACTGGATGCTGAGGTAGTCAATGTGAGAATTTTTCCAACATCAGCAAAGTCCCTATCAGTATGGTTCTGATCGTCAGACACCTGGGAAGATGGCTGGACTTTGTCCTTGGAAGATGCTTTCAGCTGTGCCAGAGATTCGCAATCGTTTGGAAAGAGAGCTGGCTTAGGAGAGGGGTTTGGTTTCAGGAACAATGTGGCCATAAACTGCTCCTGGGTGGGGAATTTTTCTCGCAGTTGGCTGTAGTAATCTTTGTTTTCCTTGGTTGAGTCATCATCATCTGTAAATGGGCTGTCCTCATTGCTTGGGCTCATGCTATTTTGAATGATGGCATTTTCCCTGGAATCAGCCTTTATAGAGTGATTTTTCTTTTTGTGAAGATCTAAAGCACTAGCACAAGGGAAAGCTTTGTTGCAGACTGCACAGATGAAACGGTGCACTAGGCTGCTACAGCGTCGGACATTTTGCTCACACCACTCCTGAGCGATAAGGGGAAACTTATCACAGGAGATATCGGCAATGTAGCCAAGATCTTGAAACCCAAGAGGCACATCAGCAGGAGTAGCAGCCTTGCTAGGACTGGACTTTTTGTGAGACATCAGCACATGCATGCGTAAACCCCTGTGATTCTTGAAGGTGGCCTCACACTGCTCGCATTTGATGACTATATTTGGGTGGAGTTCCATATGAGTCTGAAGACCATAGTGGCATAGGAACGTCTTACTACAGATTGGGCAGGTCAACTCCTCCTCTTTCATCCGGATTTTTGTTGGACTCTCCTTACTCTCAAGGGCCATTCGCTTAGATGGGTAGAAATCGCCATCAGACTCCTCAGAGTTGAGAAGGCGCTTGGATGGGATACGTTTCCGTGGCCTACTGTATAGTGTCTCAGTGATATACTCACCATCTGCGGTATTCACTGCACTGTTGCTGGCACCCTTTTCATGGGTACGAATGTGGCGACGCATGTTGCCATTTGTTGTGAAGGACATTGGGCAAATAGGGCACTTATGGGGTCGTTCGCCAGAGTGGATCAGCATGTGACGATCCAAGGAACTGGTAGAACTCAGCTTCTTGCCACACAGCTTGCAGGAGTGCATGGTTCCATCGCTGGTGACACTGTTATGCTCACGGAAGTGTACAGTGAGTTGGTGCTTGTCTTCAAATTCCTCTGAGCAGACAGGACAGGTCAGAGAGGTGTTACCTTCTTCCATTGGACGCCGCCGTTTGAAGACATTCTGTAAAAACAATCAAAGCAATCCAGCAAGTCAAGACAACATAACAATTTTATTGCCTAGAGGGTGAAAGGATTTTTCACAAAAGATTTTGCAGCGTTTGTGAACAAACTACTGTAATTTCAATAAAAGAAAAACTTGTTACAGCGTTCTTAGAACTTGTTGAAAGATAATGTCATTCAAATGCTCAGCATGTACCATGCAAACCTGAGCTTGTTCATTCAATATCCAAGCGCCCTCGCTATACTACGGTAAGTACAATATGCCACAGTCATCTTCAGTAGTTCTTCACAGAACCAACAATGGTATGGAAGTTTGCTCCTAAAGTGATTGATGTTGTCAAGTTTGTTTAAATAAAGAGTATACATGTACCTTGGAAAAAACTGCACAGGAGGTGAATGACTTTAAATGTGTTTCCGTGTTTTTAAGTGCCCCTTTCTTTTTATCATAAGGTACATGTAATGCTAAAATGTAACAACGCAAGTTTCTAAATGTTTAGCAACATGTATGGTTCAAGCAGTATTCAATCATCGGCTCGAAATGTTTTTCTAACCAGGCTATTGCCCTTCACTGATGAGATTAGCTTTAGTTTTCTGACTTGATCTTGACCATGTCCTCAGTATAAACAAAGATTGCAATACAATGATGATCTCCTCCAACCCTTCACTGGCATTAAGTGACAGGACCCAACAGACATGCGGTAAGCACTGAGGCCCGTTGCCAAGAGGGGGGGAGGGCTGAGGGAGCTGGGCCCCCATCAGTAAAACGTCTGAGCATAAAAATATATTGTGTTCTAGTGATGTGGCCCCCCAGCTGATACTATGCCCCCCCCCCATTAATGCCTGAATGTGGTGACACGGCTCTGTGGACCAAGCGTTAAGCTCCACACTGGAGGTTACATTGTAAATACCTCCTCCAATACTCAGGTTTTAGTAAAAACCTTTACGAAAAAAAGGTATTTCAAAGTTGGAAAAAAGTACAGAATATACGAGGTACTAGTACATGTACATACATGAACATGTATGTACATGTAACATCATCGACTAGTTTGAGCAAACTCCATAACATCTTAGCAGACTAGTGTTTAGTGTATACGTAACTCAACTACAAAGCTTTACAACTTGTTTGATAATGCCATAATTTTCACTGTTCCTCACTAAAAATTAATCCTTGATCACACTTGTGCAATGTACCGGTACATGTAGGTCAAAGGTCACTTTCTTGAACTGAAGGACTACAATGGGCACCATCATAAGTAATTGACATTAGAAAGCTATCAATATATGATATGTCAGAGCACAGACATGAATCAGGGATGAACATGTCCGTTTGTGTTGCTTGTGACATAATCTTGCAGGTGTTATTTTCATACCCTGTTATTTGTTGTACATGTAGATTTCAGCTTTTTGGGGGGTTGGGTCTTTTTTTCCCAGAACAGAGTTGCCACAATTCTGGACTTCAATTTTGTAGGGGTAGCAGTAATTTGAGGAAGTCTTCGAGTCCATAAACAGAAACATTTATGGCTCATAAAGCATGATATTTCCAAGGACTGTATTGTTGTCTTGGAGATTATGCATCTTCTTCAGCAGTATCTAAGTTATGGAATGGCTTGCCATCTGACGTATGTGTTGGTAAAACGAACACTCACCTGGTTTGTTCATGACTAAACTCATGAGTTCTTTTCAGAAAGACGTTTGGTGATGTGTCACTTCGCCCTACTTGGCTACAACCTAAGAACTGCGGCTGAGTGATGTGTCACTTTGTCCTACCTGGCTACAACCTGGGAACTGAGGCGGTTGGGTTGGAGCCCTTTTAATCATGTGTTTTTATTTCATTTATTGTACCGCAATTGTCATCATTTGAGGTCTGATTGTGCTTGTGTGTGGTACTGTGTGTATGTTTCAGTTGAGTAAAATTACCTTCGTGATAGCTACCTTTTCTACATAAACTTACATTTGATATAGTCAGTCGTACATCTATTCCTTTTTGTACATGTACTTGTAAGTTTATTTCTGTAATATTGATAGTGTGTATGATTAAGCGTGTCATGAAGTATTTGTGTTTAACTTTGAGGTCATTACTTCAAAGTTAAAAACAACAAGCTGACGCTGGAGAAAGTGCAATATGAATTCAATAAATTATTATTTATTATTAAGGGCTGTGAAAATATGTCTACAATCTGTTAAAATAAATATTACAACCTGCCACTAAATAAACAATTCAAGAATTATGTAGATGTACGGTAGGAAAACCACTTGATACGGGTACATGGATGGAGCACAGTACGATAATGATTTAACTCTGATATTCTTGTAAGCAATATTTTTCACAATAATTTGGCGAAGGAATTTTCCTAATCCATAGGGGATTGTATTTCTCAAGTTTAACCCTCCCTGTTATTCCTTTAAGCAGAGAAGTACTGCTAGATAAATCATAGTTTGGAACTCCATGAGGTTTAAGTTAACCACATGTACCCGGTAAGGTTCCTATTGTACTGTACCTTTTTCCAGGGAGGACTTGTTGATGCGTCATCGGAGTTTGATCCATCTGGCTGTTTGCTGAATTCCTTCCCTGCATCGCTGCCTTCAGCCATCATCATGGTTACAGTCTCCCCTGCTGTAGTTGAGCTTCTCTCTCCAAAAGGGCTGTCACTCTTCAGACCTGACTCACCCCCAACTTCCTCTGATGGGGCAAGGGGGGCACATCCCCAGTCAATGTTGCTGCTGCTGCTAGTAACCACCTCCCTTCTACCATGATGACGGGCTGGGTCTGTGCCATGACGCCGATGAGGCAAGTCTCTGTCCCTGCCATTACTGAAGGCCGCTGCTTGGTCACTGCTCGAGTTGCTGTCATCCTCTGATGATACAGGTTTTGCACAACCTGTCTCTGTCAGTTCCGGACAATTGGAGGTGGCAGTCCCTGTAACCAGATTCAGGGGCTGCATGTCTGAGTCAGCCATAGACGAGGGCCTCCTGGGTGCCTGGTGATTGGGAGCAGGGTCATCTTTGACTTGACCTTGTGCAGGGGTGCTCACCGGCATCAAAGGGTCATCTACCTCAGGTTCAAAGCTCCCGTTTGTCAGACTTGGAGTCACCTTCTCGGGCTCTGTGTCCATGAAAATTGCATCCTCCTCATCTGCTCCATCAGATATTTGACTGTCAATCGAGGCTCGCCCTGACCCCTTGGTTCTCTTTGTCACAGTCATCTTATTCTTGGCAGCCCCATCTGTTGACCTTCGCCGTTCACTGCGGAGCTCGGCTCCAATCATTTTGCTCTCCTCAGCAGCAGCTATCTTACCCAGTTTGTATCTCTGGGCAGCATTCTTACGCTGGGTGCGTCGAAGACCAGGCCTCTCCCCTTTAATTGGCGATCCATGGGGCCTGATCCCCTTTGTTTTAGGGCCCCTGTTCATTACATTGTGGTTACTAGCAATGCCGCCATGATTGCTGGTGCTGGAGCGTGTTTCTCTAACGCTGACTGCTGTGTCTTTGCGGTCCATTCCAGCTTCCTGGATGTCACCAATTTGCTCATCAGTCGAGGCCTTGTCTTCCTGTTCCCCGGCAGCCTCTTCAGTCAGATCTGCTCAGACAATGACATAAAATGAAAAGCCAAAATTTTAACTCCCAAGTCTATGAAGTGGGAAAAAAGTAATACCTGTGGCTGTAAATTAACAAACTGAGCTGCCAAAGCTACTTTTGAGTTGCAGTAAAACTTAAAAAGGACTGTTTATTCACCCAAATGATGTCTTCATTTGTGAGAATGTGAAGTGATATAAACAAGCCAAAAAATCTCTCCACCACATACAAAAATATTTAGGAACAAAATGTCAATGTACACTAGAGTTATTATGCAGAAAGTGAAGAGTTAAATGTAGGCCCTCCTTTAGGATAAAAAAATTTGCTTTCAGTTAATTCACAACACATTACAACATTCATTAACACACAAATACACAGACACAAAGGGGGCGAGGGCCTGACCAAAAAAGTGCAAAGAGCTGAATGCTGTAATCCATTAGAAGCTATTCTGTAATGTACTCTTACTCCCCCAGTGGAGTGGCATTTCCAAAGTGAAATGAAACAGAAAAGTTGGTTTGAAAGGCCATATTAGCTCCCAAAGCATACATGTACCAGCATGTCTGCATGCTATTTGTGATAAAGGATTAAGGAAATGATCAAAGAAACTTGTCCATGTAACTTGTGAAAGAAAGAGAAAGATTTTAAAAGCATTTGGGGAAATGAAACTCTAAGCACAGAGTTTTTCTAAAACTCTGGAGTTGTCAGTAAGGAAGTAACAGGTCTCAACAAGCATCCCTTCACTGTACCATTAATAAGAAAAACTGAAGGGACGGCCCACCCCAGCAAAGCTCAAATAATGAAGTCGTTGACAATTGACCTGCCAGAAGTCACAACTAGTGCACAACTCACACCAACTATGAAAATTCCTCAAACAGAGAGCAACTGATGTATGCATAGATGATGCTGATACTCTGGTGGCAGATGACAAAAACATGCTACCATTCTCTTTGAATTCTCTGACCATTTCTACTCATGTCTTAATTGGATTTGTCTTAAATTTCAGTCACATGGACAGTTGTATGACTTTGTCACATCAAATGACTATGTGTACGGTTAATAATTTTCAGGAAAAGTTGTAAAAGCAGCAGTATGTAAAAATAAGTACTAAGATATATGGCAAATGTTATACTGTAAACATGTCACTCATTCTAAAAAGTGATTTAATGCCGAACCTTAACCTTGCAGTATATTTGTTTAATTTATTTCTGATAAACAAGATAACATGTAAAACAGAGCAGCATGATTTAGAATAAAGAGTCAGACATTAACAAGACATACCTGTATTTCATTCTGAAATTTCTTTAAAGTTTTCAACCAGTACACTCTATCACAACAAGCATCACTGACTCACTAAAACAGTTTGCAAGACACCATGTCAAGTTATGAAAACTTGAAGTGGTCAAACAAAGTCTTGCAGCAAATTCTTCATCAAGGTTGCATCACTGCAAAACCCACCGCACTTTTTTCCCACAACATCTCCTACAATTATTCTTTGGGCAAAAAATCCTTGGATGCCCCAAACAAACATTGGTAAATACTGATTCATACTGTATCACATGTAAGATGAAACTAAAAAGACCAAAAGAATAATTACCTGTGATAACAATTCTTGGATAAGAACAAGGAAGTTGCTCATTATGTGATCTCTGGTTTGGAAACTGCAGGAAGGCAGTCCCTAGCATCACATACACATACGACACATAACTCACTCCCATACAACCAATGCCAACATCCAATGCATATGAAACAAGGCACAGGAAATACTGACTCTACCCGATCATCCTGCCACCATCATGTATCCATGGACCTTTTTTTGTTGTCTGGTGATAAAATATCCATCATCATCAGCATCCCTACTCCACTGAGATGGACTCTTCCATGAAGCCCAACATGAGGTCTACCTATGTGAAGAAGGGACAAAAAATCTCTCCCTAAATAAACATGGATTCAACTGGCTGTGTCAGATACTGAAACTAGACCACCGTTGGTTGCAAAGTCATGGGTGAGCTTACAGCTTAGCTGAGCACACACAGCAACCACTGGAGATGAACTCCGCACAGAAAAATGATATGATTCATCGGGGCCAAACTTTGTTTTTGGAAGATACCACTTGTTGGAGCTGTAGGGGTGTTGGCAACATCCGGAGAGCTCAAGGGAGACTGTGTGTGTGTGTGTGTGCGTGGGGGGGGGACAGAGATGCATGTATACATGCTGCATAGTGTGTTATTGCACTGCTGAATGACCTCATCCATGCAGTGTAGTCTAGCGCTTGATCCTACAGTGGAAGATGACCCTGAAGTTCTTTGTTGGCTTTCTGCTTGCGTCACCTGTATGATGGGGCTCACATACAGGTAGAAAAACCACAGCAGGAGAGTTTGTGAAGTCCTTGGTGTAATAGGATACAATCTCACTGTGCAGCATTGCTGTGGTTTCAGCAATGAAGGACAGCTCTGTGCATCCATGGAGGGGTACACGAGAAGGGCACTTCATTATAAGCCTGGCCCAGTATTCACACAAGGGTTGAGGCCAAGGTTGGAGGAAGCTGGGCATCAATGACCAAGACAGAACAAAAGGTTAAGCTGGAGACAAGAACTTACGGGGAAGAATAGTGTGGATCACAAAACCCTGAACTCATGATGACACGGAAAATGTACTCCAAATAACTGATTCTTTGGTTCTTGAAAAGATAAAAGGTTCAAGAATTTGAACAGTCAGTCTCTAAAGCTAACAATTGATAACTAAAGATGGGGAATTACAAGAAGACAGAAAAAACTTCAAAACTCTAGTTGATTCCTGGTGGGGAACAACCCAACAGAGGGAAATTCCACAGATTTTGTTGTCCCAAGGAAAAGTTCTTCAAAAGTATTATGTTTAAGTATGGAAATAAACAAATGACTAATACTTTTGTTTACCTAAACAGGTTCAACAAACAATGTTCTTACCCTACTATTCTAGTCAAGCAAGCACTGTCAATCTACATGTACCCGGTATATGAGACTACAAGTAAAACTAACTGGATTGTACTAAGCATGCATTGACCCATTTGCACCAATGCCATTAAGTCAATGAGTGAAACAACATGATTAGGAACATGGCCATATGTCTTCAAATACAATGCCCATTAAATGGAAATTAATGGGATATCAACCACAACATCATGATGAACGACGAAATCCTAGTTTGGTATTTAGTGTTAGATTCAACTCCTTTCACAAGTAACCGGTATTAAGCACAGGGTTGATGAATCACTGACCAAAGTGACCATCCTCCATGAGCATCCAGACGTACACTAACCTGGCAAAGCAGGTTACCAACCAACCAACCAACCAACCACCACCCGTATCCTGTATGACCTAACCTTGACTTTTTCACACTGTGAGGATTACTTCTTGTAAAAAAATACATGCAGATGGAGAAGTAAGGAAGTCAGGAGTTTTTGTAACTCATGGTGTGCATACATGCTGATGTCACATGCACACGCACATGTTACTGTTCAGTAAAACTTTGTTCCATGAACTTAAAATTTGAAATACACCAAAATGAAGAACCAAAGCACTACACCTGATGATTACATTAAGCAAGACTGATATTCATTTCATTTTTGATAATACCCCTGGTGCATTCACTGTATCGGTACCTTTACTTTTATCCCTCGTACTATTAAGTGATTCTGTTTATCCAAGTACATGTCGTATATTTACCTTTGGATGACTCATTATGTCACATCATTATATCCATGAAACAAATAGATCTTGTTTTCAGAGAAACAAATATTCTTGACAACAAGAAAAAATTCTGAGGAACACACTTTCTTTATGATATTCGCCGTTCAGTGAGCCTGATATGATCCTTTGAACTTTACACAGCTCAATCCTTCACAAAGCCAGCATAAAGTAATGCACTGCTTGCCATGTCTATTGATAAACAATACATACCCAGCATACCAAACTTAGAAGACGTCCCAATATCAATGGAGAAACAATGAACTTATCCGGAGTAACACTGAAGCAGTATTTCCTGAATAAACCAACCTTCTAGTCCCTTGACTGTTATGGCAAGTGTATGAGGATGCAGATGCAAGATTTAGGATCTTTTTAGGTTGTACACAGGGTTTTACTTTTAGAAAAGGAACAAATTCCAAGTCTATAGTGTATCTGAGGCTTTTGTCAACAGATGCCATGAACATGTTGGAAACTCAAGTTTACATTTTGCTGTGATCTATTCAAACAGCAGATTTCATGCAAGATGTTTAAGCAAGTATTATTTGTAATGGGAAATCAACAATATGTTCCATGTATGTTTGACAGGTAATAAAAGGTACACGAGTACATGAACATCAGAGAATCTAAACCCTTTGATATGTGGGTGTAATCAGGACGCATTCTTGACAGCAACGTTCCTGTCATGATAACTGCATAAAATTCCATTTCAATTTAAGAGAAAACAACAAGTGATGTCACATAAAAAGACCTTTTCTTTTCTTGGGGGGGGGTTGTTTTCAGGAGAAAAAAAGGAGATAGAGAAACTGAAAGTTATTTTAAATAAAAACAGAATTCCTCCAGGATAATGTCTCCCAGAAAGAACGTTTCTTAATTTTGTTGGAAGTTGAAATTCTACACCTCAGGTTGACACTTCCTTTAGGACAACATTTTTGAGAATCAATTTCCACTGCAAGTACGCACTCATAATTGTTCACATATTTTACTGGCATTTTGCCCAAATTTCTTTCTCGTCTTGCATCATATGGTGTCATTAAAATACATGTGCCTAGAGAAGAGACGTTAATAAGTGACGGAGGCAGTCTCTTTGATGCAGTGCATACACAGCCCTACCAGTATCTATCTGGAAATGTATTTTGATGAGGCAAGTCATAATTGTCTTGGCAGCATCTGTCTAATGTTGATGCTGGTGCTGTATATCACAGCCCTGTGTATTCATTGAGTAACTTGCCTCCATTTCTCCAGGTTAAAGTGTAAATGTTCAACGTATATACACCAAGGACTG